CTGGACGTGTGGACAACTTGCTCTGTGGACAGCTGGACGTGTGGGCAACTTGCTCTGTGGACAGCTGGACGTGTGGACAACTTGCTCTGTGGACACTGGACGAGTGTTCAACTTGCTCTGTGGACACTGGACATGTGGGCAACTTGCTCTGTGGACACTGGACGTGTGGGCAACTTGCTCTGTGGACACTGGACATGTGGACAACTTGCTCTGTGGACACTGGACGTGTGGACAACTTGCTCTGTGGACACCTGGACGTGTGGACCACTTGCTCTGTGGACACTGGACGTGTGGGCAACTTGCTCTGTGGACAGCTGGACGTGTGGACAACTTGCTCTGTGGACAGCTGGATGAGTGTTCAACTTGCTCTGTGGACAGCTGGACGTGTGTTCAACTTGCTCTGTGGACACTGGACATGTGGACAACTTGCTCTGTGGACACTGGACATGTGGACAACTTGCTCTGTGGACAGCTGGACGAGTGTTCAACTTGCTCTGTGGACACTGGACATGTGGACAACTTGCTCTGTGGACAGCTGGACGAGTGTTCAACTTGCTCTGTGGACACTGGACGTGTGGACAACTTGCTCTGTGGACAGCTGGACGTGTGGACAACTTGCTCTGTGGACAGCTGGACCACTGTTCAACTTGCTCTATGGAGAATGGATATGTGGGCAACTTGCTCTGTGGACACTGGACGTGTGGTCAACTTGCTCTGTGGACGGTTGGGTCTTTGACTGTCTGCACCTGGGACTTCCTGGACACCTGGTCCTAGCCACACCCACCCTGTGCTCAGCTGACCCCCCACCCCTCCCGACTGTGGGTGGGGGGAGAGAAGCTGTGCAGGGCTCAGCAGGGCTCTGTCTCCCCATCCTTGAAGCTGGAAGCCAAAGCTCCCCTCAGAAAAACAGTCAGAACCCACTTTGAGGTTGACGTCTTAAAGTGGAGTTCCTGCTTTTATTATCTTCACAGCTATTGTAGTGGGAGGACTGAGCATTAGGTCAAAAGCACGTCTGACAGGAAGCACGCCGTGGGCTGTGAGCTCCTCTCTGTCTGTCTGTCTGTCTGTCTGTGTGGACGTCCCGTGGGCTGTGAGCTCCTCTCTGTCTCTGTCTGTCTGTCTGTCTGTCTGTGTGGACGT